TTAACCTGAAGTTAACCTGAAGTTTGGGTTGACCCAAAACTCATCCTGGATAAAATACTAATACCTACTTTTCTCAAATGCTTTCAAAATCCAGTGTTAGAATTCTGCATTCATACAGGTACAGTGTTACAAGGTTTTTCCAGTCCCCTGTAGGAGAGAAGGTGCTATCCTAGGATACAGCTGGGGGAAGGGTCAAAAAAGTGCATAGCTGCAGGTGGTAAACAAAGTTCATTTGCATGAATTGGAGAGGGTAAAAGAATGACCTGGCCTGCTTCAGGAGATGTTGCAGTGAGGGAAATTTGGGAAATTGCTAGGTTGACGTCCTGAAGGTTGGTCAAATCAGGGCAGGCTGCTGTTTACCTGCCATGATGAGAAATTGAGTGAAAAGAGGGAAACTAACTTTTTAAGGCTGGCTTCCTAAGCAAGCAAATTTCATGAGATTTTGTTCATAGAATCATAGAATATCCTGAGTTGGAAGAGACCCACAAGAATTATCGAGTCCAACTCCTGGCCTTGCACAGAACACCCCAAGAATCACACCATGTGACTGAGAGCATCATCCAAACACTTCTTGAACTCTGTCAGGCTTGGGGTCATAGTTGCTTCCTGGGGGAGCCTGTTCCAGTGCCCAACCACTCTGAATAACTTTTTCCTAATATCCTACCTAAACCTCCCCAGACACAGCTTAATGCCATTCTGTTGGATTCTGTCACTGGTCATCAGAGAGCAGAGATTGGTCCTGCCCCTCCGCTTCCCATCAGTGAGGAAGCTCTTGTTCCTGTCTGCCTGTGTGTGTAGAGAATCCACATAGGTTTCTCTAGAGCCAGGGTGCTAATAGCACGGGCAGAGTTGTTGCCCACTGGATAAGTTGTATTGTACAGCCCTTACAGATGTTTCAACTGTGAGGACAGAGCAACTGTCACGAAATACGTCATTTAGAAAACTTGTTTCCTTAACACGAATGTCATTGGAACTTGCTGCTTGTGCCAGAGACCCCCTTCACCTGCAGTCAATAAGCTGGGTGAACCTCCAATCTGTAGCTGCTTGGTTTTGTTTGGGGTGATTTTTTTTGTTTGGGGTTTTGGTTGTTTGGGTTTATCACTTATTTGCTTGGTAATAAGCCTAGAACTTGATGAACACATAGAAGAGCATGCAGTCACCTATGTAGCAGCAGTTAGAAATAGTTTCACGTGGGATGTTGGCCATGCACAGGAGCCACATCCTACCTTTTCTGTTTGCAGTTTATCTTGTGCTATTCTGAACTCCTTTCCATTTTTCTCTTCAGGAAGTGTTGCATTCTATCGCCATGCTGACTGAGAACGTCAGTATATTTCGCATGGAGAAACTATACGCTGTTCTTAGCCAGTGCATTTACCAACACCGGGAAGATGGCAACAAAAAGGAATTAGTGAAGGTGATTTCTTTTGTCTTAGAGCATTTTCTGCCGTTATTACATGTGTGTGTGTGTTACACATGTGTATGTGTGCCCTGTGAACATCACACTTATTTAGCATTACTCTTTACTGCTTTGTTGCCTGTGTTACAAGACTTGTTCATTTCAGTCTGGAAAACATTTATCCATTGTTGCATTTGGCTTCAGTGTTGGCAGTTCCAGCAGGAAAAGGCTTTAAATGATGGGTCCCCTCAGAGAGCCTTTTCAAAGCAGTTGACCTGTCACTAGTCCTGCTCCGGCACCTTTTCAGGGGTGGGGGGCTGGGAAAGGAGGATGCTTTTCTCAGTCTGTCGCTCTCTTGTTCTCCCCTTGTGGGCAGTCACACATGGTAACACTTGTATAGCAGTTATTCTGTTCTTGAAAAGAAATTAATTAGTTATGAAACATAAGGAGAATTAGAGACTTTAGTCTCTAGTCTCACCAGACTTTCTTTTTAACTAGCATAGCTCAAGCATCTTTAATTTCACATAGGGGGAGCTTCCTGCCTATGATGGTTTAACAATGCTAATGAGTCAAATTCTCTAATCTCATTCTCCTCTAAGAGAGGATTTCCAACATGTCAGAACTTGTCAGAAATATTCCATAGGAACCCAGTCAGGCATTCCCAGTATTGAGTTGATGTAGATAGGTTGGATATTCAGTCTTCAGCTTCAAGGTCCTAGAATCCATTTGTTTCAGGTGGTTGTGCCTAAGAACAGATGAAATTCTTTATGCCTCTCAGTCTTCCTTAAAAAAAAACCAGGAAGCCTCTTCTCTTTAGCCTTGGTCATCTTGATCTCTTCTTCCATGCCCAGTGAGGAGTTAGAACAGAAGCTCCACTCTGATTGTGCAACAGCAAGGATTATTTGGATCCAGGGATGCTATTCTTGAAAATGGCACCCACCTAAATGAAAATTCTTGAATAATGATGTGTTTCAGCATAACAAAGGATTTGTTACCTTTGGGGCTTGTGAGCTTTTGTGACAGGACTGGATTTCTTTCTTTGTCTTTTACTTTGAGCTTTAATGAAAAAAATATCTCCTATTCATAATGACAGCGCAAGTCAGTCCAGGAGCAAGTTCTACTGTATGGAGAGAGAGACTTTAACAAAGTATTTATTCAGAATAAAACCAGTTACAGCTTTTAGTTGTGGCTCTTCAGGAACTGTCTCATTTCTATTTGTTAAAAGCACCATTGATGGAGATCCACAGCTCCTTGATACAGATCCCTGCAGTTTTTCTAGCCTACACTATTTTGGGTGCATAAGGATGTGTTTGAAGCCAATGGGTATAGAACACTGTTGTGATGGCAGAAGCAGCTAAATTATTACTAACTATTGTATGTATATACAGATTCTTGCTTCTTTTGATGAAGAAGTAAACAGGGTTCTTAAGCTTGTATTCACACTGACTCCTTATTTGTCTTTCTTTCTTTTTAGGCAATGAAGAAAGAAATTACAGCCTTCAGTTATCCGTGATACTTGATTTCAGATACCTGACTTCACATACTCTGTAATGTTTCCTTCTGGTTGCATGCTCCTTTCTTTGCATAACTCAATAAATACTAGTTCTACACATATATTTATACATATATGAAACAAATATATCTTAAAATTTATTAAGAAAGCTCAAATAAAGTAATTTAATGACTTTTATTTGATATTTCCCTGCTATCTGTGTATATTTTTATGTGATGTACTGCTGTGATTGCCTTTGGAACACAGATCTGAATAGATAATTTCAGTACCTCTCTTTAAAAGAAAAACTAACTTGAAACAAAGCAAGATTTACTACTGTAACTTTCTAAAGTTTAGTTGTGTTTGTAATAATGACAATCTTAATACTGGAGAAAAACATTTAATATCATTTCTAGTTGATCAGGTGGCCTCTAGCTAAATTAAGTTGTAAATAGTTTTCTAGTTACCTGGGGAGATTGAAATCTGTTTATTACATAAAAGTGAATATATTGTTTGCAATAAATATGTCGAAGTAAAAGCAAAGCAATATCCTGTTTTGAAGATGTGTTCCTTCTCAAACCAGCAGAGAAAATTTATCTGTTAATTTGACAATTATTTTTAATAAATGAGACCAAGACAAAGTTTCACAATATCACAGCTTATACAAAATTTCATTCTCATAAGATATGTGGCATGATCCTTTGCTGTTCACACACAGCGTGTGGTGATACTGAACGCCGAACTGTGCAATCCCTCTGTGTTTGGTTTCTTACCTGTGTCAGTAGTGTTCTTTCTTTGTGTCCTTTTAGTGTGTTTCTTCAAACGTTTGTTTGTTACGCACATTTTCTTTTCTCTGGTTGGGTATTAATAAAAAATTAATCTCTTTTTCGTGGTGTGTTGTCTGCTCTATTTTAATCACAGAGTAATTTTGATCATTAATAAACTTGCTCTTACAAACCAGCACAGATATTAAGGTTTTAAAAGAGGTGCATGTGAGCAGCTTCCTCTCCACTCCTGGTGTATGTTACACAACAAAGGCAAGCCCAGCAGAAAAAAAAATTTACATTAAAAATTTTAATGTGATGTATTACATTGGAAATATAATAAATTAATTGTTACTTTTCTTTAACTTGATCTCTATCTTGGCTGCTGTCACCGCTTTCCAGTGTGACTGGGGGCGGTTTGCTGACTGCATTCCCCAGGAGAACCGTTTGGAAAACTGAACAGAAGTGACAGGGTTGAAATGAGGAAGCAGAAACATTCCTGGGATCAAGACTTTTGCTCTTCTGAGATTTGATCAAATGCTTTCCTGTCACTAGTCTTGACAGGATACTGTACCTAGGCAGATCTTTAAAAAATGTTTCCGATTGTGTAGATCGTCGTCTTCCATGTCGAGCTGTGAACCGTTAAAGGCTCCCACAAGCCATATCTTTATTTTTCTCTTTCTCAGGGAAACGGCCACATTGTAGTGTCTGACCCAAAGCAGCGCACAGTGATGAAAGAAACAGTATATGGAAACAATGTTTTTCAGAAGGGTGCAGCGGGAGTAAAAACCAAATATTGACTAAAATATTTTGTATGGGCTAAAGTGAGAGAGATCTCCTTTCTTGAAGTTCTGTAACTGGGGAAAAAAAAAAAAAAAAAACGAAAAAAATAAATCAAACCCAAAAAACCCAAGGAATGGGGCGGACTGCCTTTTCCTCAGAGCCGCTTCTCTTCCTTGGGGCTCTGATCCTAAGGCCGTGTCCTCGGTCGGCGGCACCTCCGGGCCGGCGTCGCTGAAGAGCCTTCCCGGGGCAGGAGGCGCCGCTGCCCTGACAGCTCGTCCCGAGCGCGGCGGGAGGGCCGAGCGCGGAGCCGAACTTTGCCGGCGGAGAGGCGGCTGCGAGGGCGCCGCCGCCGCCCAGGAGCTCCGGCCCTGCCGCCCCCGCTCCTCCCCGCCGGGCCCAGGAGCCGCCGGTACCCCCCGGGCCGCGGCGCTGCGGGGCCGGGGCAGCCCCCGCGCCCGGTGTCCACCGCCCGACGGGCGGGGCGGCGGGAGCGGCTCCGCCCCCGCTCGCTGCCAGGGCGGCTGAGGCAGCGGCCGCGCTCGCCGCCGCTCGCCGCGCTCCCGCCCCGGGGCAGCGCCGCGCCGGGAGGATGCGAGTGGGCGCCGCGGGGCGAGGCGAGGGCGCGGGCGGCCGCGGCGTTGGGAGCTCCCGGCCCATCCGCCGCCCCCCCGCCCCGAAAGAAGTGCAGTAGTTTGTGGAGCGCAAGATGGCGGCGCGGCCGTGAGCGCAGGCGGCGGGCGGGCGGCGGCGCGGGCTGAGGGGGCGAGGCGGAGCGGCGCCGGCAGGTAGGGGCTCGCTGGGGGGGGCTCTCGGCGCCGGCAGGCGGGAGGTCGACCCCCGCTCCCCGGGGAGGCGGTGCCCTGCGCCCGCCTCCGCTTCCCCCGGGAGCGGCCCCTGCGCTCCCCCGGCGGGGACGGGACAGCGCCGCCGCCCCGGGGCGAGGGCGGCTCCCGCGGGCGGGGGCGGGCGGGCCGGGCCCGGCAGGGACGGCGCCCGCGGTGTGGGCGCGGTGGGGCGGCCGCGCCCCGCCCTCCTCCCCATTGTCTGGCGGCGGCGCTGCCCCCGCGGCCGGGGGTCATCGCCCGGCGGGGCCGGCGGGCTCCGGGCGGGCTCGGAGCGCCGGGGCGTCCCTTGGCAGCGGGCGGTGGGTGTCCCCTCCGCCCGGCGCCCAGCGGGTTTAAACCCCTCCGAGCCCAAGCTCCTCTCCCCGGTCCTCCCTCCTCCGCCCTGTGCCGGGAGCCTGTGCGGGGTTTTGCTCGTCACGGGGTGGGGGAAGATATGTCTGACTTGTCAGTCAGAAAAGAGAGTCAAAGAAGTTCAGTAATCCCGGTGCGCCCGGAGGAGCCGGCGAGTTCCCGCCCGGTGTCAGCGCTGGGACGGACAGACTGACAGACAGACTGACGGCAGCCAACAAGCCATGAAGTTCTGGCTGCAGAGTTGTCTCGCATCCCGTGGCGTTGCGGTGCGGGGGCGAGCGTGGAGGAGCAGCACAGTGTATGTGCAGGCAAAGTTGGGGAAGATGTCTGGTTTGCTCCTCCGGGGGTGTCTGGGTTTTTGGGGGTGCGTTCTCACGCTCGGCTCTCCCCTATACCACGATGTGCAGCACTGGAGATCAACACCGACTTCAATAAACCATGTAATGGAGGCAGTTCTGGATCTCTGAAAGGGCTCAGAGAACCTGCAATAGTGAACGTCATCTGGTAGGTACTTGTGTTTTATTTGTTTGCCCAGATTCACAGATTATTCTTGAGTTGGAAGGGACCCACAATTTCTGAGCTACTCGGGCAGGTTAAATAGCGGAAGGTTGGAGAAGTTTATTGTGCACACAGTGTCAGGTAAAATACTGAAGGCTGAGGTGGCTGGGTCTGCAAACTGGAATAGATGCTACATTTTAAAATAGAGATGTACAGAGAGCATATTGTGCGTGTCAAACTGCGTATAAGCATATCAATAAAAAGTGAATTTTGTTAGGAGACTTGTTACATGAAAACAAATATTCACTCAAATGTAAGAGGAATTTTAAAAGCTGTGCTGATGGTTTTCACTAGTGGTTTGTTTGTTTTAGTTCAGAAGGCTTTCAGGCCAAAAAAAAAGCTTGTGAGTACTTACAGAAACTCTGTTTAAAACGTCCTGAGTGATGCAGACTAGAGGACTGCCCTGAATTATGACCTCTTTGAGTGAGAATGCATCATTTAGAAAACCTTTTGTTGCTGTGTTTAAACATTGCCAGCAAGGCAGTCTGTTTTACTTGTGCTGTTAAATGAATTCCCATGAGCCGATTAGAAGTAGGTGCCATTTTGTATAACTGAAATTACTTGCTTTTAAATTCAGGGTAGTGGTTCTTGTATCTTTGCTAGACTGAAAAGCCCTCTGCTATCACATCTGGATAATGCGTGTGTATACTGTGATTGTGCCCAAACTTGGCTTTGTGAAACATAGTACTTTGAGGTAGAGCTTTCTTTTGTGAGGCTTACTTTTCTACTCTCCTAGTATTTCTTATGACTCTCTTCTGGATTATTTCTTCTCTTGCAATACTCTTGGTGACCTGTGAGTGGTTTGGCAGTGTCCTGGTGTCTAGCCTTAATTGCTGTCATTTATAAGTGTAGGTTGTTATTGGAATAGACAATATTTATCACAAAGTTTGTCACAATACTTATTGTTGGAGATTGTCAGAGCTGTGAATTGAACAGTTCTGTCTTTTGTAGATTCTCAGTACTGAAGAACTCCTATCAAATAATGGACTACATAATAACATTAGGATTCCTTTTGTTCCTAATGCACCAAAAAGACTCCTTCCTGTGTCTTCTGCTTCACTGAGTAGTTTGTAGCATTTTAGTTAAGCTTATTGCTATCCTGACGTGTCCCCCCTAGTTTTCCCTCCATTTGTTTATAGGTAGTCTGAGGGAAAGGTTTAAGTTTTTGGTTAATTCTCCTGTACTTGTGACCAGTGACCCATTTGTTTGTATGTGACTTTCAAAGAGTCTTACTTGATAAAATGTCATATGTCTTTGAAGTCAGATTCTTTCCTCAAATCTGAGTACGGGATTTTTTTGCAGCTTTATGAAGCTGGAACTTTAAAAAAACCAAGTACATATGAACTGGGTTTTATTCTGTTAGTGCATAATAAATATAGCCAAGGCACAATCACTTGTAGATAAGCTCTGGCTCATCTTTATTTTGGTGATCAGTTTCTCTTTACCTGTCAAGCTGAGGTCTAGTCAAGGTTTCACAGTACCAAATTCAGTGTTTTTATGTTTTCTGATTTTTATAAATCCTGAGCCTGCTGTAAAATTTACAGGATGATCTGTACATTTACAGAATGATCAATGTCTGTTAAATTGAAGTCCTGTGTGATAACAGTTTTGGGGGCATGGCGTGAGGGAATGTTCTGCCCGTTTTTAGCTGAGTGCACGGACGTGCTGTTCTATTCTCTGCATTAATGGTCAATATTCCCTCTCCTTGTGCTTCAGATGCAGGGTCATTGATCCATAAATGTCCAAGATGGTTTGCCTCTGAGCTGTCAGGGACTTGTTTACAAGTGGTGCAATTTTCAGTATGGTACCATTTTCCCTTTTGTTTTCTTGCTGTTTCCTAAATAGACAGCAGTACTGATCTTAGTGTTCTACTCATGTAGCTCCCCACCTGTCAGTGGCATGACCTTTGGTGAATATATACCTAAGAATACAATTTTGTTGTTATTCTTTAAATTTCTTATATTGTCAGCATCATTAGTCTTATTAATTCAAAATTACTGTCTTTATTCCCATTCATCTTCTCTCTCTTTTTTTTTTTCCTTCTTCTTTTTTTTTTTTAATTTTCATGGCTAGTCCAGGATCTTTCCTAGTCAAACTATTTTGCTGCATAAACAGTTGTTTCTTTTTCTGTGGAAGTGGAAGCCAGCAAAAACAATACATTTCTTTATCCTGAGCGACCCAGATGGCATTCCATAATTCTATGCCTTGCATCACTTAAACTGATGGTGCATTCCCAGTTCTGTGGTCTTGCTGTCAAGGAATTGGAAGGAAGTTCAGAAGGTGCACTCAAGTCTTTTTCATATCCTTCAAAGTTCAGTGAAGTGGTACATATTTCTTAGAAGTGTCTCTACTACCAGTGGATTGTTTCTAACTAGCTTCAGAGATCAGCCCAAATAGAGCAAAAGTCTGCTGTTGTCTCTTGTTAGAAGATGTGTACCACTGTTTTATCCTCAAAAACTTTGAGATCGTAGTAAATGTTACAGTTCGGTAGAATTCTCTGAAAAGGAATATGATCTAAAAGGGGCAGAAACTTGAATATAGTGTATGTTTATTAAACCATTAAAATTATAAAAAGACACATTATCATGCTAAAGCACAGAAACTCTGCTTGTGCCTGACAGGTCTAAAGGAGCTCAGTGTATTCTACTTTGAAAGAACATGTTTCACATCATGTGTGGAGCCATTTAAGAAAGTGATTTTGGTATTTTAGGTTCACTCTGTGCAGCTTGGCCTTCTCGCAGTGGTGTTTTGCAATACAGTCCTCACCTTCCTTGTCTGTTGAACTCCCTAGGAGCTGAAGGAATTTAACATGCTTCCAGGGACCCACAGTTTGAAACTGTTGCTCAAGCAAGACCCAAAGGCTGGCAGTTTTGTTTGAAGAATGGGCAGCCCGGGCTGTGCAGCGAGGCGTGTGTAACGCCAGCCCTCGCTGCTTGGCAAAGCCAGCGTCGTGGGGTGAGCGCCGAACTCACTCCACCAGGCAGCAGGACAGATAGGAGCTTTTGAGCTTTCTGATGGAGATGGTAAAAGTTCCACGTGTCCAGCCAGCACTCTGAACCTTCAAAGCATCTTTGAACCGTGTTGGATGGAAAATAGCTGTTGGCTTAATGAATTCTGTGAATTGGGCAATTATTTTATACAGATTTTAAGGCTTGAGTCACTGCTTATAGGTTAGGATGTGATTATCTTAGCATTGTCTTAGCTTAGAAAGTTGCTGAGAACTTCATAGCTGGACATGCATGTTTGCATAGTCCAGGGCAATGTTGGTAGAGGTTTCTAAGCTTGCCTTTCCTAAAACATGAGACACACTAATGTAAACAAAACATGGTACTAACGTGGTTATTTCCTCCCTGTATTATAATGGAAAGACATGCTTTGTATGTCAAAATGCCTTTGATTGTAAAACTCTCCTGCTGGCTCTGTGCATGGGTGTAAGGTTCTTGCTAATCAGGTTAGCTGATATCTAGGAATGTTCTGTGTCCAAAAAAGAGTAAAAGGGACACAGTGGGCAAGGAGTCAGAAAAGAATAGTTATTACTACCTAGGCTGTAGAAGACTGGTGGTAATATCTTAGTTACAGCTGTGTGCTTTTTCAGAAAGTCCAGATTTCTAGGTAATATTTAGAATACCTTCAAAGTAGAAAAATACTGACTTCTTAATCATGGGTCAGATGCCTTCAGCAAAGTCAGTGGGAGCTGAGGGCTCTCTGAGGAGTTGGGCACTTGGCAGCAGTTGCCAAGTGAGTTACATGGAGCAAGCATGAAGGCTCAGGTGTTCCCGTTCCCCACAAGGTGAAACACATTTGTAGCTTCGCTGGAGTTTTTGGAGTGTTCAGCACTGCACGATGTTCAGCCCTGTTTGCAGTGCTGAATACTTAATGGCTCTCTGTCCTCCCAGCTTCTCAGTGGGGATCTGTCTAACAAAAGGTTCACCATACCTGGAGTGTCGCATAGGTTCACGTTTTTTTATGCATGGATCAGTGTGAGGAATTGATGCCCTTACAAGATCCCTGCAGGCATTGTAGATATCTGT